TGCCGGACGCGCGACGCCACACCTCTGAGGGGCCATGGCTCTGCGGTTGGGGCATCTGTCTTCTTCCCTGTCCCAGGAGTGAGATGAAGCGCTGGATGACCTCTCTGGCCCCCAACCGGAGGACGAAGTTTGTTTCCTTCACGTCCCGGCTGCTGGGTAAGTGGCCCCTGGGACCAGGGCACCGCTGGGCGGGACAGGAGGGCCCTCCGTGGCATCAGCCCCAGATGCTTCCGAGCCTATGTTCCCAGAGGCCTGCGCGGCCTCCAGATGCCCGCTTTGACTGGCGATGGTCCCAGGTGCCAGCTGCTGGCTTAGCGCCTAGTGGGGGATATCAGTGGGCTGACCCCTGGGAAACCATGAGGAGTCTGGGCCCAGAAGGCGGACGCCAGTGTTCTTTGGGGTCGTCAGTCGTCTGGAAACCATACAAAATGTAAAAGGGCACCAGCCCAGCTGCCCGCTAGCCGCTGCCCTGACAGTGTCCACTGTGTCCTGGGCATCCCACACGTGCTCTCAGGACCTCGTCCGGGTTCAAGAAGTCCTTCTGAAGCCTCGAACAGGAGCCTCCCTGCCTGTCCCTCCCTTCATGGGTGTGATGTTTTACCCGAGGCCCAGCCACTGTCCTCTCATTTTCTTTGGAGCCAAGCCCCCTCCCTCAAATGACCTCTCTCCAGTTGCTGCGAGACAGGTAGCACGTCCCTACGAGCTGCTGGGCCGTGCCCAGGGTGGCTGGGTGGGGGCAGGGCGGTGGTGGAAGAGGAGGATGTGCCACCTCCCTCCCTCCCTCCAGACTGCCCCCAGGTCCAGTGCGTGCACCCGTACGTGGCCCAGCAGCCAGACGAGCTGACACTGGAGCTGGCGGACATCCTGAACATCCTGGACAAGACGGAAGACGGTAAGGCAGGGGCCGGGCATGGCGCTCACTCAGGCACCCCGGACTCTGCCCCCACGGGCAACAGCCTGAGGATGAGGCTCGGCCCCGGGGGGAGAAGCTGGCGGACGGGTAGGCGAGCCCGGGAGCTGGCACGTCTCTGCTCCCCTAGACCGCTCTGCCCGTCCTGGCTTCCCCAGCTTTTCCTCAGCCCAGAGAAGGTGCTTCTCCCAGGGTCTCTGCTGTCCTCCCCCCAACCCACAAGGCCCGCCTCCCCCTCACACCAGGCCCAGCCTGAGCATCCGTGCCTCGCCTTCCCTCGATGGCCCTGGGCTGGGCCCACCACCCTCACCCCACCTGTGACCCTGACTCTAAGCTCCATAGTTGCCACAAGCTTCCAGGTGAGCCCCGACCACCGGGCTCAGAGCCGTGTATGGGCCCAGAAGCCACCCGCCCAGCCCAGTCAATGGCCTTAGTATAAGGAGGGTCAGGAACTGACGTCAGCGTGACCAGACGTCCCGCTTTTGGCGAGACAGTCCCGCTTTGTAACAATTTGTTCCGCGTCCCTCGGCGTTTTAAAAATCGGGATGTCTGGTCACCTTGCCTTAGTATCAAATGAGGTTCACTCCCTTCCCCTCAAAAACTGATGCCTATTGCAACATCAGGTGTTCTTCATCAGAACCCCCAAAACGGCACATCCCCTCCCCAGCTCCTCCCCTTGGAGGTCCTGGCTAGAAGGCCTCGGGCTGGTGACCTCCCGGGGAGGCCGTTTCTGCTGGTCCCACACACCAGGGCCTCCCCGTCATCGAAAAAGCAGTGTTTCCCTCCACTGCTCCCCCAGCATAAAACAGCACAACAGCCTCCCCACGAGGCCAGCAGAGGGTGGCGCCAGGCCCTCAGAGCCCAGGTCCTGGCCCTGCACTGGGACCTGCCAGGAACCCTGCACTGCAGGTGATTTCTGGGGGAGGAGGAGAGCCAGGGCCTTGTGCTGGGGTTGGCCAGTTCCTGACAGCCACCCTCCGCTGACCACCCGACCCTCGGGAGTCTCAGAGAGGGATGCCAGCAAGAGGGCGATGTGACATTCCAGGCCCCGTAACCACCAGCCGGTCATCTCCCCCACCGGCCCAGGGGATGCTTCTTGCTTTGGGGAAAACCCTTGGGGACCCCCGACCTCATGTGGGACAGCTTAGGGTGACTGAGTGCTTGGGAGTGGGCTCCAAAGGCAATAATTTTGGGACGCACTGGGGCACAGAGCTAGCTGGCTCCGTCACAGCGGTACCCACATACCGTGCTCCCTGGAGGGTGTCCGGGCAGCGCCGCCCCAGGCTATGAGGGACAAACCCAATCTGAGGTCTCCGGCAGGGGCTCTTGGAGCAGGCTCCTCTGGGAAGGCCCGCTGGACTCCTGTGCCAGCAGGAGGGCTCAGCCAGGCCCCTGCGGGAGCTCCTGACCGACCCCGTGCCCTCCCCGTGCAGGGTGGATCTTCGGTGAGCGTCTGCACGACCAGGAGAGAGGCTGGTTCCCCAGCAACATGACGGAGGAGATCTTGAATCCCAAGATTCGGTCCCAAAACCTCAAGGAATGTTTCCGGGTGCACAAGATGGATGACCCTCAGCGCAGTCAGAATAAGGACCGCAGGAGGCTGGGCAGCCGAAACCGGCAGTGACACCCCTCCCCCAGCCCCCGGGCCAGCAGGGGGATGTGGGTACGCAGGTGGGAGCTGGGCCTGGCGGGCAGACGCACTGGCCGTGGAGGGAGGGGACCTTGTGCAGGAGTCACCCCGGCCCCTCACCCCTGCCACGTGGTGACCGTGCACGTCTCAGCCCCCTGCTTGCAAACTGGAAAAACGGTGCCCACGTCTCTCCTCCGATGCATTTGTAGATGAGAAATTTATTTTAAACAGTATTACACCTCCTCTCCCTCTTGTCTCTGAGAGGGGGTGGACGGGGACTGGCATGCTCCAGGGGCCTGCCCCAGCCCTGGAAGAAGCCCCAGACCCCGGGTGTCCCTGGCCCAGGGCAGGTGCAAAGAACCCCTGCACGTGCCCTTCTCTGCCCTGGAAGCCATTAGAATCCGCCAGGCATGCAGATGGGCTGCCCTTGCCTGATGAGCTTGGTGAGCGGCCCCTGGTCCCCAATTTACAAGACTGAGAGACCAACTGCCGCCTCGGCCTCTTCCGGCCTCCGGTGCGCGGCCAGACCCTGCCTTGAGGCAGGCCTACCAGCGCGTGGCAGAGGCCCCAGGCCCCCTCTGGCTCCCTGACGGGCTGGATGTAATGTGTCTTCTGGCCCCTTAAGGAGCCCAGGTATTATAAGAAATAAACTAGTCACTGCATCCTGATCAGTTGTGGTCCTAAGAAAAGCAAATACCATGTTTTGGCTGCATTAAAAGAAGCATCATGTATAAAATAAAGGAGGTGACGTTCTCTTTATTTCCCTGCTGCACACAGGACTGAGGTGTTCGGTGTTGGGCAGGGAGAGAGGCGCCCCCTTCGAGGTCCGTGGAGGAGGTATACCCTGAAGGAGGGGGCTGAGGAGGCCTCTAGGGGAGAAGGGAGCGGCCAGGGGACGGGCCCCCCTCCACTTGTTCAAGAACTCCAGAAACAGACAAGGGCGTCTGAGGGAGTGGGAGACGCCTTTCTGCTGCAGTGGACGTGAGAACGGGTTTGGAAGACCGTAGTGGCCTGTGTAGCAGTCCCACAGGGAATCGGACACCAGGCACAGGGCTGGGGCTTCCCACCCGGCCAGTCCCTGGCCTTGGGCACTTCTTCCCACCAGAGGCTGCAGCTCCTCCACCAGCCCAGCTGGCCCCACCGTCACCCCACCATCACCCCTGGTTCGGTCCTGGAGTGTGGACCGGCCTGAATCTGACTCCACCCAGCCCTCGCCTAGGACCATGCTCTTTCTGCCAGGACACACTTCCCTGTGCACCAGAACAGGCCCTTGATTAGAAGCCGGAGGCTTTGATCCAGTGGGGCTTTGTGGCTTCTTCCCACGGGCATGACTCTGCGTTCTTGAGACCTCAGGTCCTTTGAGAATCGCATGAATCCTGAAGGACGCACACGCTTATAACACATTTGTTCACCTGGGGAGGGGCTGACGCTCTGTGCCGCACGCCTGGTCCGGGAGCCACACCTGAGGCCCCGGGACTGAGGGAAGGGTACGAGGGGCCGTTTCTGAGCCCCGTGCTGCTGGGGGTGGGGGGGGGGGGGATAAGGAGTGGCGGAGTCTTCCAGTGGTCCTGGCCCTTGTCCAGCTCTTTTTGAAGCTGGGAAGCCGTGTGCTGACTTGGATCCTCTGCTCTAAGGAGGGCTTTGGCCACTGGAGGTTATGTGATTTAAACAGTTTCATGAAAACTGGTCTGTTTCATAACAGCCTTATAAGCAGAAACTTGTTACCCATGAAGTGTTTTGGGGAGAGTGTGTGTGGGGACCTCGTGAGCTCCTCTGGAGTAAGTACCCAGGAACAGGTGTGGCCAGGAGATCAGGGAAACCAAAGAGGCCCAATACTTGAAGAGAGAACGGTGGGAAGAGGAGGAGGAACAGCTCCCTGCCTCCAGCACCTGCTGGGGACCGCCCAGGGCCCAGGGTGTCTGCAGTCTCTCTCCTCCGGGTCTCCTCACTCCCAAAGGCCCCTGGGGGCGGGAGCAGGGGCAGGTCACAGTTCTGGCTTTCCTGCTGCGCCCAGGGCGGGTCTGCCAGTATTTACAATCTCTCTCCAAATTATAAACGCTGGGCTTCCTGGGGAGCGCGGGGACAGAGCCTGAGCAAGGTCGGAGAGCCAGGGCCCAGCTGGGGAGGAGGGGGAAGGAGGCGGGTGGGGGTGGGGCGCCTGGAGGCCCTAGGCTGCTGTGAAGCTCGGCCTGGGGGCCACCTGGGCTGAGGGTGGGGGGCCAGGCCAGAGTGACAGCGCCTAGGCTTCACTTCTCGGCCCTTCCAGCTCCTGGAGCTCCTTGGGGTAGACTAGGCGGCCCGGTGATGGCTGCCCTCCCCCGCCTGACCTCCCACTTGCTGGGGCGGCCGGGAGGCTGCACTCCGCTCCGCTCCGCTTGCACGCGGGCTCCTGCGGGCGCCCGGCCGCGTGCACACAGGTCGCCCCCGCCCGCCCGCCACACACGCACACCGGGACACACGGAGGACACGGGCGCGCCCGCAGGACCGCGGCCCCTTTATTCGCTTCAGGAGGCGGAAAACTTCCTCAGCGCCACGACCACGAGCGCCAGCACCACGCAGGTGGCCAGCAGCGCGGCGATGACGATGGCGGCGATGGCGCCGGGCCCCAGCGAGCCTGCAGGACAGAAGGAGGGTCAGCCCGGCCACCGGCCTCTGTCTCCCCGCCTTCCCCCGCCTTCCCCTCCATCCGTCCCTCCCGGGCCCTCTGGGTCCCTCCCTCCCCGTTTCCCTCGTCCCTCCCTCCCGCCTGGGCCGCCTCCTACCGCCACCGCTGGGGTCCAGGTGCTCCCGCGCGGTGCTGTCCTCGGGGCTGGGCGGGGCGGTGGGGGCCGGGGCGCCGGTGGCTGCGGGCTCCAGGGCAGGGCTGGTGCCCTCCACGGGGCCTTCTCCGGAGGGCAGGTCGGCCGGCTCGTTCCACAGGGTGGGCACGGGCTCCTGAGGGCCCTCGGCTGCAAAGCCAAGAACAGGCGCTGGGCCCAGGCTGCCTCCAGGAATGTCTCCCCACGGGGAGGTGGCACTGTCCTCGGGGGCCTGGGGCTCAGCACGACTCTAGCCCTCCCATGTCACAGGCGAGGCAACTGAGAGCCCTGCTGCTCCTTGGCCCTCACCTGGGTGAAGCCATGCAGCCCACCGGACATGGGGCCCGGCACCCACATACGCCCACGTGTGTCTGAGACTCAAAGCCCAAGGGGCCTCTCTACCCCAAGGAACTAAGCCCAGCACATTACTGTCTGCAGATAGTACAGGCGGTGGTCTGTAAGGGAAACCCCAGGAAAGGGTGGTGTCCTCCTGCCCCATACAAGCTGAGACTCAATAAGCACCTCAGAGTCTGGGCAGCCCTTTCTGCAGGAGCCCTTCTTTGCTCACTAGAGACCTGGTGCATGAAATTTATACATGGGGGGGGGGGGGGGATGGGAGGGAGGGAAGGGGTCCCTCAGCCCAGCCTGCACCATCTCTAGTCCAGGACCCCTTGGGGAATGTCCGACTGCCGGTTTAGGCCCCATCCTGGGGATCGGGCCTAAACCGGCAGTCAGACATCCCTCTCACAATCAGGGACTGTTGGCTCCTAACCCCTTGCCTGCCTACCGGCTTGCTTGCTGCCTAACCACTCCCCTTCTGGCCTGATGGCCCCCAACTACCCTCCCCTGCTGGCCTCATGGCTCCCAGCTGCCTCTGCCTCGGCCCCCACCACCATGGCTTTGTCCAGAAGGAAGTCAGACTATAGGAAGATGTCCAGTCTCCTGGACTAAATAACATATTACCCTTTTATTAGTATAGATGGGTGGGGGTTAGCAAGGGTTCGGGTACCCAGGGGTCCCAAAGAACTGAAGGGACAAGGCTGAGAAGTCTGTGTGATAACACCAGCCTTATACCCTAGCTCGGCCTCAGGCGGTTCATGCCAATACCCACCCACCCTCCGCCCAAGGATCTTGGTGAGGAGCCCCACAGCACCATCCATTCCTGGGCCCATCCATCCTTCCTGAACAGGTGGCCCCAGCCACCCAGGAAAGTGCAAGACCAGGTTGGCAGGCGGGCTCCAGGCTCCCGCCATCCTGACCCTGACTGACCCAGGGATGCTCTGGGAAGATGCAGGCTAGTTCCGGGCCTTTCCCGCCAACAGTGCCCACCTGGGGCAATTCGTAAGGAAGCACATTTGGAGTCAGTTATAATATAACTGGGTTTTCAAAAATGTCAAGGTCAGGAAAGACAAAGGAAGATTGAGGCATTGTCCAGATTAGAGACCAAGGACAGGTGACAGCTAAATGCAGTGTACGTTCCAGGTGGGGCAGAGGGGCTGCTGTAAAGGACAGCTCGGATCCATTGGTGAAATCTGAGTAGGGCTGTGGTTTAGATATCAGCACTGCATCTGTGTTGATTTCCCAATATGGACAAGTGAGAGAATCCCCTTGCTCTTGGGCGTATTTAGGCGCAAAGGGATGTAGAGGGCCGCCTGGGAAGGCACATGGGCAATTTTCCTTAATTATCGTTAGCTGAACTCAAGGCGTAGACAGAGCCACACCTTGGGAACATGTTTCCCCAAGATGGTGGACAAGTTGTCAGCTTGGCCTTCATATCAGCCCAGGTGTCGGCAGGAGCGGGACTAGATATGTAAATCCAGGCATGCTAGGGCCTACTTAAGAATGCAAATAAGTTGGTGATACTTCCTGGTATTGGGGGTATAAAATAAATGCACTAGGAGTGGTCATCGTCATCCTGGTCCTTGTCTTCTTCCTGCCTCTCCAGCAGACAGGATGGCAGCCCACCCAGCTCTCAGTTTAAAATCTGTCTCCGTGTCTTCTCTCTTTATTTCTAATATTTCTCAATCCCTGGCCGCCTCCACTTAGAACCGGTTTGTTCATCTCTCTTTCCGTGCAGGACACGGAAAAGAGAGTTCCCCACCATGTCTGGCCCCCACCACATCAGGCCCCCGCAAAGGGGCATGTCTGCAACTTAACTCTGAAATGGTTCAGCATCTAGACAGATAGGCAGGTGGGTAGAGAGAGACAGGAAGAGCAAATATGGCAAAATGTTGGAAACTGGTGAATCTAAGTGCAGAGTATACTGGTCATTGGATTATTCTTGCAACTTTTCTGTAAACTTAAAGTCTTTTCCCGATAAAACTGTATAAGGCCCCCCAGCCCTGCCCCTGCAGCCTCTCCCAGACCCGGGAGCTTGGATTCAGTTCAGGGGCTTGGATTGCAGGCAGGAACCAACTGTCCCACTCCCCAACGCTTACCCAAGCTGGTGCCCCTTTTCAGGAAATGCCCCTAGCAGGGAGGCCTCCAGGGACAAAAGGCCCCAGAACCCATTGGTGTGGCAACAAGCGGGGCTCAAGGCTCACCTACAGCACTGGGTCTGGGGCCACCCTGGCTCCACCAACTGTGTCGTTATCCCTGTGAGGGGGACAAAGCGACCCTGTCAGGCCTCCTTTGTCCCTGTCTGGAAGGTCAGGGGCCTATAGCCTTGAAGCTGCCAGGAAAGGTCCCAGGCGCCAGGTGGCTCCAGGCTCCAGGCATGCTGACCCAGGCTCCTGGGGGCAGGCAGAGAAAAGGCCTGAGAGTGCCCACTGCTTGGCAGACCCTAAGGTCTAGGGCTTAAAAAATGTCTGTCTCCCCAGATAAATGGAGAAACCACTGGCTCTCACTAGCTCCCCACAGACAGGGCGGCAGGCAGGCACCGCCCTGTCCCACCGCTGCTGGCCGAAGCTCACCTCTGACTGCTGGGCACCCGGCCAGGGATGCCACCACAGGGCTCCTGGGTACCTGGCCCAGCCAACCTGGGTGGCATCAGGGGAACCAACTCTGAGCTCAGAAGGAGTGCAGGCCCTATGGCTTACTCCCTGGAGCTAGCCACCCCTGCCCTTTGCCAGAGCCCAGGAGCCATCTCTGGGAAGAGTGGGCCCCCTGAGCAGGGCGGCTGGGCTGGGCTGTGCACCCAGAACCTCTCCCTTTCTCCCCAGTGGCCAGCCTCACTCTGCTGCTCCCCACAGAGGCTGGCTCCTCCCTGTCGGACACACTGGTTCAGGCTGCCTCGTCCCTGCTCCAGCCTCTTCGCCAAGACCAACCAGTCCCTGAGGCTCCAGGAGCTAAGCCTAGGAGTCCCTGAGGCTCCAGGAGCTTCCAAACCCTGCCCCTTCATGCTCTCCCCCAGGGACCGGGCTTCACTTTCCCGACCTGAGGAGCAAGGCTGGACTGTGCCTCTCACAGCCACACAGTAACTATGCTGTCGTTGTCGTCATCAGGATGCCTCCCTCTGGCACGAGTTTCATGGCCGGACACAGGCCAGGCCATTCCGTGTGCTCTGCCTGCTGCAGCCGACTCTCTCAGGAGACCCCCCAAAGCTGCTCCAGGGCTCCTCTGTGCCAAAGCAGCAGAGCCCCAGGGCTAGCCAGCTCCCTGCCCACCCAGGTGGAAGCCCCAGGGGCAGTCTGCACTCAGCCCCCAGCAAAGGAGGTGCAGCTGCCAGGGAAGGGCCAGCTCACTTTCTCATCTTCATCTCTGTGCCTCTGAATGTTCTCAGTTTGCTGTCATATTAGGGGAAAACAAGGTTTAAAGGCAATAACCCACACTCCCACCTGGCACCCCCAAGCAGTCCTCAGGAGTGTGCCAGCAACAGCCCCGTCTGAGCAGGGGTGAAGGAATGCCAGGCAGGGGACCGGCATGGCAAAGGCACGGAGAGGGAACCCAGGGGCCTGTGGGGAGAGCTGTGAGTTAGCCACGGTGATGTGAGGGCCCACACGGCAAGGACCGGAGTAAACAAGGCTCTGCGACTTCGTGCTCTGACCAAGGAAACCAGGAGGCTGGGGCCTCGTGACACAGGCCTGGGCACTGTGGGCTCTCCCCCAGCCCCGCCGCCCGGCTGCCCTGCCTTTCGGTAAATAAGTTTGTTTAGTGCTCACTCTGACCACAGGGCCCCGAGGCCAGGCGCCCGTGCTCACAGACGGCCTTTGTACGGCCATGAAGGGCCTTTTCATCCCTGCCCTGGCCTCCCGCCCGCTCAACCTGGCCTGCCCCCCTTGCCCCAGTAGCTGTGGCCACAGGCGACCAGTGGGGAGGGCAGCGGGCCGCTCCTTCCAGGACCCCCCACCCAGCGGGCAGCGGGCAGTGGGCTGCTAGGCCTGGTACACGCCTCCCAGGATGGCAGGAGGGAGGCCAGCCAGCCAGAACCCCGAGAGGAGTCGGCCTGTCCCTCTTGGTAGGACATGTGGAAGGAGGTGAGGCCACGCGAGATCCCGGTGACGCTCAACATGAGGCTGTCCCCTCCAGCATTCCTGCGGTGGAGGACCCAGGCTGTGGACGCACAGTGTGGCCCAGAGCTTCTGGCCGGCAGCCTGGGCCGGCAGCATTGGCCACACGGAGTGCGGGAACCTGGACAAGAGCGCCCGGACCCGCCCGTGGGAGCAGCATTTCCCTGGGGTGGGGTATAGAGTCTGCAAGATCAGACCATGGGAGATGCCACTGGCACTTTAGGGCACTCCCCCAAGCACCTTTCCCACCACCCCTGAGGTGTGAAGGGGTGCTTCTGCCCTGAGACCACCCTGCACCCAGGGGAAGGCTGGGGACGTTTATATGCGGTCAGTGACGGGAACTAAGCACCCCCGGTGCCTGGCCCATCCTGAAAGCTGGTGTCTGAAAGTGGCAGGCCTGCTGTCCCGTGAGGGAGGCAGAGGCACGGTGGCTGTCACCCTGTACAGATGAGGGGGGACCGGAAGCAAAGCCAGGCTGCTAGGTTCTCCCCAAGGCATCTGAGGCTCCTCGCCATCACTCGGGACTCCCCCGTTGGTGCCTGAGAATGGGGCCGTCCCCGCAGGGCTCTCCCCAGGGCCCTGCTCACTCACCTGCTCTCCGGGTGCCTCCCCACAGACCCGTGGACTTTCCCTCAGAGCCCACGCTGCAGGGAGGGTCTCTGCCCCAGGACCCTCACCCGGGGCTCTGAAACACTGCTCTCTGGCCGCGCCGTGGCCAGCAGAGATCACTTTCTTCCAGGAGAAAGACCACCCGGAACCCAGGTGTGCCTTTCCTTTCAGGCTTTGAGGCCAGCCTGGGCCAGCCCAGCTCAGGGCCCCACAGCCATGCCCAGCCTGGGCTGAGGCCTGAGAGCCTGCCGCCCAAGACTGTCGTGCTGTCCTCTCTGGACACCAGACCCAGACATCTTGGCCTCCGTGCAGAGCCTAAGTCCCACGTCCTCATGGTTTTCTGAGGAGTCTCCGGCCATGAACTAACCCCGAACTATTTCCTGATACAGGACTAGCTCCTGGGGCTTCGCTCTTAAAAGAATCCAGCAGGGAGAGGCATGCAGGGTTTGAAAAGTAAACGGCAGGGACCGGGTCTTCTGTCCAGGGGCCGGGGGGGGGGGGGGGGGGGGGTCTGGCTTCTCAGCCACTTGCCCCGGGCCTGGTGCCCCCTCCTCACTCCTCGACCTGGGAGCCTTCAGATTTTAGGTACAGGAGCGATCCCCTTGTCCCCCAAGCAGCTAACGTTCCTGGCCCTGCTTCAGGGCCGTCGTCCCATGGCCACCAGTTCCCAGCTGCGGCCATCTGTCTCACAGGAGCCTCCGCCGACTCGCCCCGGAGGCTGCCCCATCTGCTGTGCAGGGCATCTGCCCCCTGGGCACCAGGGAACCGGGCCCAAGGTGATTCTTGGCCCTGGAGACTTCTGGCAGCAGAGCCAGGGAGCACCCTTACCTGTGAGCACCGCGGGGGCTAGGACCCCGAAGAGGAGCAGTAGCGCCATGCGCAGGGTCAGACCGAATGCCATCCTGGGCCGAGTGAGTGTGGCCAGCGAGCGGGATGCACCGAGGACTGAGCTGGTTAACTTCAGGACGGCGGGAAAGAGGTATCAAAGGGCTGGGAAGGGTTTTCATCAATGCAAACTCTGTCCTCCTGGGACACCGTGCCCGCCCCCCATGCATGCCAACACACACACACACACACACACACACACACACACACAGCAGAGCTAACAGAACAGACCGCTTTCCTGAATTCTGGAGCAGCTCCACCCTCAGAGGGGAAAGAGGAAATTGCATCCTTTCTCTCCCTCTCTCCTCTCTCCTCTCTCCTCTCTCTCTCTCTCTCTCTCTCTCTCTCTCTCTCTCTCTCTCTCTCTCTCTCTCTCTCCCCCCCCCCCTCTCTCCCTCCCCTCTCTCCCAGCTCCCCCGCCCCCCCCCACCCCCACCCTCCATGTGCAGACTCGCCCAGGGAACTGGGAAATCAGATGTCTTGGGTACTCTGTTTCAGCGGGTTGTATTTGGGCCCATGAATCTATGCCCAGTGCCCATGGTGGGTGAGGAGACTCGCCCTGGGCTGTCGCCGGCACTGAGCAGCAGGCTCTGCTCACTTTCGGGCTCTGGATGCCCGGCTGGGAGTGGGCTTGTTAAGGAAGCACTTTTAGGCAGTTTCAATCCAAACCGCCTGTCTGCGCTCATCTCCTTCCAGAAAAGCTCCTCATTAAATGTCCTTGTCTTGCTCTCTGCTGGGCTGGCCCAGGCTGGCCTCAAAGCCTGGACTTGACATGCCACCTAAATGCCCGTAATGTGTTGGGGCCAAGTCTGGCCCCGTGGCCCACTACCTTGCCGATAGCATCACAGGTGCCTAATAAGCATCTCTAACATAACATGTCCCACACACGCCCCCGCTGCCCTGCCTTTCCCAGCCCTGCTCACCAGGGAGCTGCCCCGGCCTTTCAGCCACACAATTAAAAGTCACCAAAAGTCCTTTTTTATCTTACTACCCTTACCTCCCCCCCCCCCCCCCAATAGCTCAGAAAATACTGACATCACCCTCCTCCCTCACATTCTTCCTGGTTTCCCACTGCTCTTAAGTCAACCTCAGGGCTTGCCTTGGCCCTGCTCCCCTCCCCCCCTGCTCAAGCCTGATCCTGCCTCCCCTTTCCCAGAAAGCAGCCCCTCAGTTGGCTCCCTTCTCATCAGCACTCCCATCTCAGTTCTGATCAGTTAGCCCCTGGTCCACTCACTTTAATTTCTTAAAACTTATATTTACATTAAAATCTCTTGGTTTTGGTTTTATTGTTTTCAGTTTTTGTGAGGACTAACCTAGTGTGAAGTATGCAAATCTTACGTTTACAACTTGATAAACTTTTATACAGATACTAGAGGCCCGATGCAGGAAATCCGTGCCAAGGGCTCAGCCCTCGCAGCTGCCGTGGCTTGCCTGGGCCCTCGCAGCCCCGGCTTTGTCTGGAAGGTCGTCTGTCTGGAAGGACATCCGGAAGATTGTTCAGCTGTCCAGTTTAATTAGCATATTATACTTTTATTATTAAAGATACATACACCTATATAAACACTACCCATCCCCATCACCAGTCAGTACCCGCAAAGGGCCATTCTATCTTCTATCACCAGATTCATTTTGTCTACACTTGAACTTCAAATAAATGGAACCATATGAGATGAACTTTTTTTGTTCAACATCCTGTGAAATTCATCTATAATACATTGTTGCATGTGGCAACATTCATTCTTGTTGCTGAATATGCCACAACTTATTCATTCCTTTATCCATTTCATCCATTTATCTATGTCCATTTGGGTTATTTCTGGGGTGAACTTTCATGAATACAGCGCCTATGACTATTCTTGCACACGTCTTCTGGTGAACATGTGCACTAACTCTAAGGGTCAGAGGGTAGTATTTAGGTTCTGAAGATGCTGCCCAGCAGTTTTCCAGTGTTTGTTCCCATTTACACTCTCATCAGCAGTTGCCCTACATCCTCACCACATCCTGGTATTGCCTGTCTTTTCTAGTCGCCTGCTGGGTTATATTTCCATGACTAATAAAGTTGAGCAGTTTTCCATATTTATTGAGCACAGGACTATCCCCTTTTGTGAAGGATCTGCTCGATTATTTTTGCCTCCATATACTTATGGGGTGGTCTATCTTTTTAGGGTTTTTTGTGTGTCTCAGATAAAAAACATGTTGGATATATGTAATAGCGTCTCTAGATGAAGTATTCATAGGTTGTCTGTGCCCACCCTGTTAAGTCCCAATACAGCAGGGACTGTTGTGTTCACCAGTGCCTTTCCTGGACCTAGCCCTGTCCCAGCAACATAGCAGGGGCTTAATATTTTAATTTAGTCAGTTGGGATTTGGGGGACAGATTTAACCATGAGCATCTTCTGTTCACTCATTTGTGCTGCTTGATTGCTGTGTCCCATTTTCATCTTTCTGTACCCTGCAAAGTTATGTAGTAACGTACGTACCGTCAGACCCCAAATCATACTTCTGAGGCCGTCCTGCCAGCATTTTGCCATGGGCAGCACTGCAGGGAGATAGAGGTGGGAGGGGAGAAGTGGCTTCCTGCTGCTTCAGGTTTCTGACAGTGTCCCTGGCAGCAGTAGCAGAGCACTGGCTACAGGAACAGTGATGGGTCAGATGGAAGTGGCTGCAGGAGAGAAGGCTGGAAGTGCAAGCTCCTGGATCCCCAACCTTAGCAGCCTTACTGGACAATGCTCCAGCATCTCAGCAATCTTTCTGCTCCTCTAGCCCAGGCTGGTGTCAACCTCCAAGTCGCAGTTACCATTAGATGAGGAACCTTGCCTTCTGTCTCTTGCTCTATTACCCCTTCAGGAATCTTTATAAGAAATCCCCATGTTAAATCTCTTCTGCTTGAAACACCTGCAGGGGACTGTTTCCTGGTGAGAGCTGTAACACAGGGCCCACTGTGTGTTAGGACTCAATTGTTTAGCATGAAGTGCTTATTGAACACAAGGCTTACAAGACCAGGTAGATATGCACTTGATAGTTACGGAAGGGATGACGACAGTACGCAAACTGGCTACTTTTTACTGTGCTGGGTGTTCACAAAAAGGATAATTTCAAGGATTTGAATTCTAAGGTCAGGGCATGATCAGAGAACTAGAGCATTTGTTAGTCTTTTAAAAGAATCTCTCATTTCTTATAGATATGGGGCATAAGGTCAGGACCAAAATATGCATATGGGTTATAGAATTATAATAATCTTAAATTGAATTCATAGCCATGCCAATTCTCTTAGCTGATATTCACGGCATTGACTGGGAATGAGTGAGACTTGATGTCTGATTGAGGATCCCTGGATAGACCAGACAAATCCCCAGGCATAGGGCCCTTCTCCAGTGTGAAAAGTGTCTTTTCTTGTCTGAATAATAACCTCACCTGTTAAGTACCCTTTCAAAAGGATGCCTATTCTCAACACCCACCCTGACAACAACCTCATTGTCCTCATACCCATAACTAGAACTAAGGAAAACAGGTACAGGATCTGAGACAGAAGGAAATCAGTACACTCTAAAACAATTGCTAATTATTCCAGCAACAAATTAATAATTAAGTACTAAGTAAGATTTTGCTAATTTATAATAAAACCTGGAGAATGTGTGTGGGAATAAATTCTAAGGTATTGGACTAAATGGATAGGATGTGAGGGATCTTGGATCAGGTCACATGTATTGGTGTGTTTAGCAGAGATTCTGAACTCAATGTTTAGCTCAAACATCTAGAAGTAGCTCTAACATCTTGACTAAGATCAAACTCAATACCATGTTTTCCCGAAAATAAAACATCCTCCGAAAATAAGACCTACTTACAGGTTTCCTTCTGAGTGAAATATAAGGCATCCCCCCCCCCCCGAAAATAAGGCCCCCCGAGGCTCTGTCTCAGAATGAAAATTAATTTACCGTAAACTGGTCGCTAGGGCCGCCCCAACTGGCGTCTAGCAACCAGTGATGTTACACGGAGTCCTGACGTCACTGCTGTGTGGAGGCTGAGTGAAGGTCGGAGTGAGCGTGGGGCGGGAGAGGGGAGGAGACTTTCGCTGATGCGTGTAGAAGAACAGGAGGATTAGAGCAGACGGGACGCGGCAAAGGTGGTGAGTGCTGGTCTGTCTCTGGTGACACTACCTGATGCTCGAGGCCGCTCTCATGATGACTAAAAGTTCTCAGTCAGTGGCAGACCCTGCTCCAGCCCAGATCCAGGCCCCAACAAGCCCAGTGACAGTCCCCAGTCTGATAAAGGGGTAGGGGGGATGTCTGGTGAAGGTGTCCAATGGCACAGGGGTAGGGGGAGGGGGATCACTTAAAACGACACAGGAGGATCAGAGGGGGCAATCAAAATGACATAGGAGGATCAAAGGGGTTACTAAAATGGTAATCCCCCCCCCAATTCTCCTGTGCCATTTTGATTCCCCCCCCTGATCCCCCGTGTCATTTTAAGTGATTCCCCCCACACACACACCTTGATACCCCAATTCCTTTTTTTTACCCCTAGAAATGAGCGTAAAAAGAAAAAGCTACTCCATGGAGTACAAGAAAGGAATCGTGGAATACTCTTGGGGCCAAAATCTTACTGCTTTCTGCAAAGAGATGATGTTGAGTATCCGATTGGTCCGGAAATGGCGAGCAGAGTATGGTAACCTTATTGAAAAAGTGGACAAGGAAAATGCTAAAAAGCACAAGTGTGGATCAGGTCAGCAACCATTATTTTCCAAGCTGGAAGACCTGATCTGTGAATGGGTTGTTGACAGGAGAGCAGAGGCTTTGGTTGTGAATAGGGCTCAGATTCAAGAATTTGCCCTTGCAATGGCACCACAGTTTGACATAGCCCCCGAAGACTTCAAAGCACCACAACACTGGCTGGATAATTTTCTTCAGCAAAGTGAACTGTCTTTAAGAAGATCTACAACATTGTTTAGGTTGGAAGATACTCGAGTTATTAAGCGAGCACTTACATTCAAGTCGTTTACTGATAATGCTAACTTCTCTAAATACAATCTTTCCAACATGATTGCTATGGATGAAACTGCAGTGTTTATGGGCCAATCATCTCAAACAATTGAACAGCAGGGTGCCTCCTTAGTATATATTCCCTTCACTGCTTACGAAAGTGCACGTGTTTCCTGTATTTTGGCAATTCGTCTGGATGGCACTAAAATCCCACCTTTAATCATTTCTAAGGGCAAGAAGGAAAAGATTGAATGTTTTGGACGTTTTTATTCTTGAAACTGAAAAAGCCTGGTCCACACAAGCAATTATAAGGAAGTGGGTCGATTTAATGCTGCT